CTTTCACGCTCTTCTGTCAGGACATATTATCTACCCGGCATTTTGCGCCATCTGAAGGAGGCATGTAGCACAGCACTCATCACCGTAGAAAATGTTCTGGCGTGCGTAGAACATGGCCGAACACCGTAGCTGACTGTACTGGATGTTCTCCGAAAATGAAATACCTGCTACACAACCAAATATCCATTTTTTTAGTTACCTCAGTACGAATCCATTGATTTCATCCGACATCAGCAACAGTTCTGAAAACACCTCATACCGTTTGTCTGCAGGGTTCGTCTCGCAACCATTCATGCAACCGTTAACCTGGTACACACGAACCGTGGGACCCAGTGATGTATCCATTTGAAGCCACAAATGACACAAATTAGCAGACGTCATTCGGGAGTTTGGGGTTCACTCGTTGATTTCCTTCGGGTGGCATGGCAGTTAGGCACCGAAAGGGTGTTACAGCTGAGCTTTATTGGTTGTTGATCAGCTGATCAACAACCAATAAACCCACCCGAGCTACCAATATTTCACCACATTACCAGCTGAGCTTTTTATTTTTATTTTATTTTATTTTTATTGGTATCGTCACACACGCCTGTCAGAGATGACAAAACTACCTTGAATGCTTGAAAACCGAACAGTCTCCACCAGTAACGGATCCAGTCCCAATAAAAACGGTCTTGCAGCACAAGGTTAAGGTTATTGGCAGCTTCCCGTGCTGACCCCTGAACCGTTCAAAACAATAAAAGACGGCTCAGTTCGCCTCCTCGTACTTCGATCCAAAATATTGTGGCAAAACGGCGAGATGGCTAAATAAATGCTCTTCTCGTTTTAAGTGGCATTTGGATTGTTCGTCCCGATTGTCGCCGCCCATTTGTTTGATACAGAACGCTGTGCTGCACTTGAAATTTTCATCTCCCCAGCGTATGCATCCTCTGTTGAGCAGTAGGTTTCCTACCTATTCGTTGCATATGACGACCGATGTGACAAAATACAAAAAAGTTGGGATGCTGTCCTCGATGTAAGCGGTACAGATAGTGCAGGCGGTAGTCCTTTCTCAGCTACATCCTGCAACGAAGGGTGTTCCGGTTAGCACCGTGTAGTTGTGATTCGCGTGTACTGATACTCATTCGATGAGGTTACATGTGGTTAAGACTCGAACGGCCGGAACACATTCCTCTTCCGAGAAGTAACCTGAACACCCAATTATACTGAGCCATTACAATACTTCAACCAGGATGCTGTTGTGACAGCTGACAGCCTTATGATCACGGCATTGATGCAAAAAGGAAATGGAGGTTTGCTATAAGTTATTCTGCACTGATCACATGTGCGTGATTGCATAGTAAGCTCTGCTCACTTGATAGTCATGGGATTTAGATACGATCAATGTTAATGGTCAATGATACTCAATCCATTTCTCCATGCTTTCAGAGAATCGATGAAATAATCGGTAAGCTGAATGCTGCCTGCTTTACATTCCTTGCAACAATCGTGGATCTGATGTTCCTAATTCAACCGACGAACGCTCCCTTAGTGGAAGTAAGGTTGCGCAATCTGCTGACGACCCCATCTCTGAATTCCCTAGTTCACAATCTTTTGTGTGCGGCGTTTTGGGTCCACTCAGTGCGGGTCATTCACCCATGTCGTAGAAGTGTTTGTCTGATACTATCTATGAATTATTGGATCCTTGAATGTTCTTCTAGCCAAGCGAAATGCAAACCGCGCAGCTGTGCGCAGTACCCAATTTACGGACTCTTCAAACTGTTACAATAATCGAGTGGTCCGCTCCTACGCGACCCTACTGGTTTGTGCCCTGGACTCTCACAAGCTCGTATGTCTGGGTAGAGAAGCAAAAAATGCAGTTTCCCGGGGGTTGTGTGGAAACCAACGAAGAGGTGTAATCAGAAGTGTTATTTGGGTGTAACCAAGTCACTGGGCTAACCAGTAAACAGTCATAGATGCAAGGCGAGAGTGGACTGAGAAGTTCGATAGACCTGGGCGAGGTAGCTCAAAAATTCCTCATCCCCAGGCTAAGCAGACGAGCAGGAGAGTGTCCAGCCTGACGAACATGTTAACTTAGCCTGAAATGCAGCAACATGACAAGGGTAGACACATCTATCAACTTTGCGTGGTCCGACTAAACCAAACCCACAGGCTGTTTGTTGACCTTGAAGTTTACCATGGTTGTGAAGCACAAGTGAATACTAAATACCGTAACATTATTGTGGAGATTTCGTCCTGTAAGTGAGGCCAATCTATGCTGAAAAGCCGAGAAGCACTGTACAGCTATTTCATCCTAATTGGGAACTTGTAAAAAGCGGTCAGCCATAGGCTGAACATTCAGAATTGTTCAAACCACATACTGCGACTAATCAATGGTAGTGATCAAGGAAACAAGGCCAACATGCCGATTGGCATGACACAGAAACACTGGGTGATAAAAACGCCTTTATTTGAGAACAAATGAATCTGCGTTGCAACACCAACAGCATCAGCCTGCACTGGAGTGGAGATCGTGCACATCCAACTCCATACGTTCCGTGTTGTGCACAAAAGCTTTCTGTCGACAATGGTACTCCACAACGCTACATCAAGTGAGGGCTATCGCGCGTGCCAGCTCAAATGCCTATTTTCCACTTCGAAATAATAGAAAAAGTCTCACACCAACGTCGGTAGAGCACCCACCGGATGGCACGCCAGCCAATCAATATTTCGGAAAGGACTCTCCTAGATGCGTTTTGAACCTCCAAATGTCTTCTCAGAGACTGGGTCGGGACACCCTGAGTCTCCACATCAGAGGCTACCTGAACTCAGCTAAGGACAGGTCCACCTATCTTCGAAATGTTGAACGCACCCGTCCGAAGAGTCATAAAGGTTACCTATCTCGCTTCTCCTTCATCCAAGGCACATAAACGCAGGGCTACTGGGACTTGTGTCAAAAACTGAACAGTCCATATCGCATTTCGGATCATCATCATGATTGTCAGTTGTAAGAACCACGTACTTGTACAGTGGTTGTAGCTACCACGGTTTCGTTCACCGATGGTTTGGGGAGGTGGGGTAGATAGCTGCGCATTGGAGGCGAGCTGATAAATTCGTGCATAAATACAGCACTGTCAGTGGATTGGAAAATCGTGAATTGAACGCAATAGCTTGGATGAACAAACGCCACTAAGAACGCGACTGGCTTATGTCTGACAAGGTCTCTAACCATTGATGTGTCCCGTCTCGGGGTCCCCATCCGGGGAGAAGACAACAACCAGCGCAGCTGAGTTCGCTGGTAATGGCTTTTATACTTCGCACTTCGGATAGTTCTCCAGTACCACATTGGTTATGTTGTGCAGCAGAATTGTCTGCGCGGAACATGCTGCCTATATCGTGTCTACTGACTTCGGTTAACTGTGGTTTGAAATTAATGTGGATGGTTTCCAAAAACGTGGAGACAAATCAAAGTAGGAAAACTATCCAAAAGGAGACAGGCCTTGCAACGATTTCTGTCGAGGTGTTTTTGGACATGATTTTGGTGTACGAATTGAGGACTGGCAGCTAATCGAAGTAGCTACCAGTCATGAACACGTGTTTCTATCTGTTCTATACGGTCAGTGTTCGACGTAAGATCGCTTACTGCACACGCAGCTAACAGAAATGCAGTTGAAGGGGTGCGGAGCCTTCCATAACACAGACGTTTCATTTATTTACTAATATTATGAAGAACTTCCCAGGCAATTTCCTCCATCAGAGTGGCCTTCTACCACACTTTTAACTTTGGAATTTAATTTCGAGCAGAATAGCCATGAAAAGTTTGATTCAGTGGGTAAAATGACCCTCATAGTGGTGAGCTAAACATTTGGAATGGACTTCTTGCCGCTATCTTGACCAACTGATAAACGGAGGTGGATAATAGAACAGTGAGAGAGCAGCTGAGATCTATCGTGACATCTTTATCATCAACAGTAATTCACTTTGAAATGATTGAGCCTACAGTAGATATTCGTCGCATGATTGACTTGGACAGAACAGAAGACGCGGACAAGAGACCATGGCAAACCAAGTGGCGCAGAATACACGCCAAGGATATATTCATAGGCATATTGGATCTTAAAAGGAGGAACCCCAGCATACGTAATATTGATGCTCATCCAGCGTGGCATCGAGGATAACCCTGTAGATGGAATCCACGTTGTCAAAGGGTAAAATGACCCTCATGGTGGTGAGCAAAACATTTGGAATGGACTTCTTGCCGCTATCTTGACCAACTGATAAACGGAGGTGGATAATAGAACAGTGAGAGAGCAGCTGAGATCTATCGTGACATCTTTATCATCAACAGTAATTCACTTTGAAATGATTGAGCCTACAGTAGATATTCGTCGCATGATTGACTTGGACAGAACAGAAGACGCGGACAAGAGACCATGGCAAACCAAGTGGCGCAGAATACACGCCAAGGATATATTCATAGGCATATTGGATCTTAAAAGGAGGAACCCCAGCATACGTAATATTGATGCTCATCCAGCGTGGCATCGAGGATAACCCTGTAGATGGAATCCACATTGTCAAAGATCACATTCGACTGGGACTTTGCCTGTTATGCTGCAGGAAACAGTGTAAGACAACATAAGCGTAGTACTTGTGGTATTGTCACACTGAATGAAATCCACTGTGGTTGGTTGCCAGGCCCTAGAAAAACTGTGAGGAAATCAACGAACCAAGCCCATGCCAACCGACGGTGTATGGTCTTGTACTCTCGACAGAGCAGATATCGGAACTGAGAAAAGGATAAATGTGCATTTTGGGTATTCCACAGAAGACAAGGATGAAGGAAAAAGCGTGAAAAGTATTCCATAAATACGGTATGTACAATACGATGGGCTATTGTCGATGAAATTAGCCAGTTAGGTCATTAGCCTCGAATTTCTCCAAGTCATACGGCTCAGCCACCACTTGACGACCGGCAAAATAACGTCCGTTTAAAGAAGCAATGGCGCGGTCAACAGATTCGGAATCCTGGAAGACAACGAAGATTTTAATTATCAGCTCCCCGTTTTCGTCCAGTTCTTGATAGATAATGACCCGATCCACCGAACCATAATTGCAACATTCCTCTTTGACTTCATTTTCCAATTCGTCATCACAATCATCCGGTCCGACCATGTTGCGCAAAATCAGTATTCTGCGGTGGGTAACAGGAAAAAACGAGTTTAAACCGATGAACTAATAAACATGATTCGTAGGTCAAGCGGACACGGCTGGTCGTTGCGCAACATGCCATAGTGAAAAGCATTAAAGTCACAGTGTCATCAAGCCTAAGCTACCCATAAACCGTACAGAGGCAGAAATCTGATTGGTCTACTAGGAAGACGCGAAGGTGTACACACAAAGTTCGTCAAGACAGAGTTGAACAGACTAGCACTCAAATGACGCGAGATCAGGTTCACATCCAACCTGTGCGATATAACAGAAGGATGTGCTGGCTGCGCAGTTTGGCTCGAATTCTCAACCAAACCCGATGGAAGACTGGATCAGATGCTGACCCATTTTTGTAAGCAGTTCCGGAATTTGAGGATATTGTATGCATATCCTTGGTTTGTGAAGTCATCCACTTGTTCTGATGAGACTACTCTGGAAAATCGATAAAACAGTGGGAGGCTAGACATCCCCTTTTGGCGTGGATTAATCAGAACAACCCCGTTCGGATAAAGCCTGTTCAAATGATAGTTGAGTGAGGGTGACATGCTCATTCATCATCCATCATGCCGCGAAACCCATCACAGATTTACAGGTTGTTTGAATGACCATCCGAAAGCTTGAAAAACTGAATTGTTGGGATCGAATTGGACCACGGCTGCCAAGTGCGGGATATTCCATGCCATTCAACATTCACACAAGTTTGTCGGGTGTTGTCTCACTCAGGTAAGATTGGACCGTTCAGTTGTAAAATCTTTACCGTGCTTAGTGGTCACGCCGCCCGAGAAAAGCACGAGGGCTAAGATATTTCCAGGTTGGGATCGAACCGGGGACCAGAAAGTTCGCGCCCTAACCACTGAGCTATCTCGAGCAGAAATCGTGACTGGATTAGATCATTCTCTCATGGGGATTTCCTCTCAGAAATTAGTATACGACATACTAATTCCACACCGGTATTCCTTCACCCTCGCCTACTGGGATCTTCAGTCTTCTGAAGACTCCTGATAACAGTATGCGAAAGCTTAGCAAGTTCAAGACTTCAACCTGCAAACGAAGACAATTTATGTTGAAACGCTGCTGTTTCAACCTTGCTGGAAACCATTAGCAGTGCGCACCGCACGAATCTCGGGATCTGAGCCCGCGTCCCCGCTACTAGTTAGCAATTGGAGACTCGATTAAGAGCAGCTGATCAGCACTGTGAACAACTTGCTACTTCGATTTTCAGTATCCAGCACCTACAAAAAACACCGTCCTTGTAATTTACACACTGTGAGTTCATGCTTTTTTAGTCAGAGATAAGGTTGTGACACATTCACTGAATAGAAACTTTGCCGCTTTGGACGAGTGTC